AGAAGACAGAGAGAAAGTACATTGAGGACCTGGGGTTTCTTTACATCACATTTTTGGACAATATCCAGCACTTCTTTTGGCTGTGTGCTTCAGATTGACACAGCTGTCAGGAGAAGGGACCTTCTTTCCTCACCAGAAATACTGTTTGTTTTAGTTTGGGTGGAAAAATCAGAACTGTTGCAGTAGACTGTTGAAGATCACTATCTAAAATAAATTATATTCAGAACTAGTCTAAGGCTAGGAAACAGCTTTATGGTGAGTTGTTCAAAGCCTCTGTTTTCTTCCAAGGTTCGGATTTCTTAATGTGAAGCACCGGTTTCTCCAGCCTCTGTATTGTTGCCTTTTATCTTGCTTTATAGTTACAGAGCACAGCAGAAGTCTTTGGCTGTGGTGCATCATGAATACTCTGAATCCTTAACCAAGCTTGTAACAGAGGGGATCAAGATCTAACATGACCTTTAAATACGAGAATTATTGTAGAATTTATGAAGTACACTTTTTATTTATTTTAAAGCTTTTTTAGCCAAAAGCTAAATTTTTTTTTCAGTGTGATATGGTAAACAACCAAAGTTTCTCAGAAAACTTTTTGAAAGTCAGTGTCTCTTGGTCAAAGCGTGTGGTGACTGTGTCTGGAATACATACATGCACACCAATATGTACTGTTTATAAGGCAGCATATGTTCTGTATTTCCAAGTCTGAAACCTGTACTTACTCATTTTTATTCCTTGAATCAAAGCAAAAGGAATTATGTTGGGTAATTAAAAAAAAAAAGCCTGCTAACAGCACTACTTTGCAGCTGTGTATTAGTGCCGTATTCCTGGTGCTAGTAATCAGAGTATCTTCCTTAAAGTGAATGCCATTGCTAGATACTGAAAACTGTAATAGAAGTGGCAGAATATAATTCCCCTTTTATGTACTTCATGGAAAGTAAGTTACTGAAGATGAAAGTAGCAGCTGTACTTGCATTCTGAAGCTTCTATGGATTTGAAGGTGATAAGGTATACAAATGATCTTAAAAGGTAAAAGGGACTATTGTGGTCATTTATTGCTGTCTGACGCAGCCCAGCGGGGGAAAAAAAGGCGAATTCCTTTGCTTGGATGCACCTTTCTTTGGGTAGCTTATAGAGTGTCTGGCAGCTTGCTGAAACTGCTCCCTCAGTGCAACTACAGTTAAGCAAGCTGAAGGTCAGTAGAAGTTTACAGGAAAGAATGATAATATATAGTGCTGTGTCAGAAACAGCACAGAAAGTGGAAGACTGTTGTAGCTGGGATTTCTTTTGTCTCCACTCATTGTCACCTGCAGATGAGCGGTGTTAAGGTAAGAGCCGTATCTGCTCACAGGCTTCCTTGCTCCCACACAGTTCCAGAACTGTTACTAGCCCTGTGAGGAGCTGCTTTCAGTAGCACTAAAAATTACTCCTCTGCTAAAATTCCTTCTTGATCCTTCCAGCATATTCATTCTTGTGTTTTCATCTGAAAAGGAGAAGTTGTAATATATAAAATTAGTTGAAATTCAGCCATTTATGTGTAATTTTTTTTAAGGTGTGGGTCTGGCTTGCCCTTTGCAACTTAAAATACCACCTGTTTTGCAGTTCCTGGGGCTCTTAATAGAGTCAGAGGGGTAAGGTCAGTAGCGTTCATAGGCAGTCAGAGGACACAGCTATTCTCATTTGAGGTTTTGAGAGAATTCTGAGTGATTTTAAGCCCTGGAGACAGAAGACTTACCTAGAAGATTTTTTTTTTTTTTTTTTTTTTT